ATCAATGAATAAGCATCGTCTGCTAGCCACAGTGTCTGCAGCACACGCGCGCTATTATTGAAAACAAGTAGCAGTCGTCGTCTCGGCGGTGTTCGCACAGCGTCAGGCTTCGTAGCGATGATGAACATATCGCCGTACGGGCAGGAACACCCCGAACTGTGCATGAAGAGCAGCATCGTTTGTCTGAGTTCCTTCTCGACGCTGTTCTCTGAGGGTAGCGATCGTCAACCTGCGGGGAGAACGTTCGCAATGCGTGTCTAGCAGGAGTGCATGCTATGTCTTAACCACGCAACCTCTTACTTTCGCACTTTCTCTCTCTCTCTCTCTCCTCTCTCTCTCTTTCTTCTCTCTCTCTTTCTCCTCTCTCTCTCTCCCATCATCTGTCTGTATGGCTGTGGACGCGTGTGGGGGGAAGATAGTGTGTTGTGTGTGGTGTGTGGACGCGGCGCCGCGTTGCAGCGTGTGTGCGTGGCGTCTGTGTGAGCGTGCGTGTGTGTGCGTCGCGTGTAGTGTGTGTGTGTGCGCTGTGTGTGGGCCGCGCCGCTGTGTGCAGGTGACGCGTGTGCCTGTGTGGTCGGACGCGATGCCTGTCGTGCGCGCACGCTTCTTGCTAAGTGTCGTGCTGCGTGCGTCTGCGTTGCCTGTTTGCGAATCCGACCCTTGCTCAGCTCTCGCCTGTGGTGCGTGCGTCGCTGGTCAGCGGTGTCTGAGCAGTATAACTCAAACACAACACGGGCCGTCTAGTTCACGTTGGGGCGCGAATCTCTGTCTGCTCCTTGTCTCCCCTTCTCGCTCTCTCTCTCTCCGCTTCTCTCTCTCTCTTCCTTCTCTCTCTCTCTCTCTCTCTCTCTCTCTCTCTTTCTCTCTCGCTCTCTTCTCTTCTTCTCTTCTCCTCTTCTCTCTCTTCTTACGCTCTTTTCTTTCTCTCTCTCCTGTGTGCGCTACCTCTGTCTGGGCTCTCTCGCCCTCTACTGTCTCCTCTTAGCCATATCATCTCTAAATATAAATGTAAATCTTGTATACCCCCCAAAAATGATCATATTCGACGTGTCACGATTCTTTACCTGTAGATGGCGACAGCTGTGACGCCCGATTGCGTGGCCATCTGTCAAGTACCTCAGATGAGCAAACGACTCGCGATATAACAAGTTTGTTGACGCTTGGAATCTTCTTGTTGATATGAAAAGAACAGTGATCAGCGCTCCGTTCACCGCAGATGCGACATAGACGAGTATGCCGAAGAACGAGTACCCAGTATGGCGCCGTTGCTGTCACCAAGTCGATGCGGAATCCGTTGCGCAGCGAGCCGCCTCCGCCAGCGGTCAGCGTTCGCCGCACTTGCTGTCAGGATCGCGGGTCCCTTGACCGGCCATGTTCTGCCACATGAAGAAGCATGATGGCCAGCGGCGACAAGGCTGTACTCGCATTCAGACACGCGGAAGAGAAACTTCTCGGCCGTAACCGCACACCTTGACGATCGCCATCTCACGTGCGTGCCGCCCCCCCTGGGTGCGCACTGACGCCACAACATGACACGTCTTCCACGTGGCAACTCTGCGGAAAATGACGACGTTATTTAGAAAAGTGGATGACGTCGTAGAATAGGCGGCATGAGCGTCACTAGAAAGGCGTATTGACATCACTTGACGATGTGATATGATATTAAGCCCCCATTACGCAAATGGACGGCATCATTATTAGAGCGCATGACGTCACTGTCAGTTTCTGATTATAATTCCAGTATATGCCGGCACGCACCTTGTTTCAGCCAGAGAAAACTAATCGCTCTTCCCTTCTCTGTAGCTCGTGCTCGAACTCTGGGGCAGGAGGGGGGCGCGCTTGCCCTTTAGATTTTTAAGACGATACAAGCCTGTAATGTTCAATATCCTTTACAATGAGCGTCTAAATCGTCGATATAATCATCTAAAAAGTTCTCGCTTTCCCCATTTACACCGCTTTTACATTAATTGGGAGTTGGTGATTCAATTCGCGTTGTCATTATTTATAGGCACGAACCTGCCGCCGCAACTTCCAGATGAGTTTTGTGTTTAGGTCTTAAAATCCTCGTCTAGTATTTGCTATCTCACTATTATTGTTCTATTAATATTACTTTATTGCTATATTACTATCACTATTTCTACAATTTCAGTCAACACATGACTACGACATCAACTACATTGCTATTCTCAACAACAATTAGTTATGTGAAACATTAGTTATGCGTCAACATCATTATGTTATTGCGAACAATTAGTTTATTGTGGAACAATCAGTCCTGATCCTCAACATAGTTCTAGCTTATGTGCCCTAGACAATCAGTATTACGAACAATCTCTAGCTTTATGTCAGAACAATCGTTGATGCGAGTAGCAATCAGTTATATACTGTTATACAATTCATGTTATTCTCCTGAACAAATCAGTTATTACGAACAATCAGTGTTATTTGAACAATCAGTTATGCCGACAATCATGTGTAGTCCTTTGTAATTCAATCAGTTATCACGACCAATTCATGTTTATCTGTGTGTAACATATCTTGTTATTACTCATAACAATCAGTTATGTCGAGAACATCAGTTGATACGAACAATCTAGTTATCTTACTTAACTGAATCTATGTTCATCCGGACACATCCAGTTATGTGAACAATCAGTTATATCGACTAATCAATTTATCCGGATCAATATCTTAGTTATACCGTCGAATCATGATCAGTCTATCCTACTACGACAATTTCAGTTATTCCGGCACCCACAAAAAATTTTCCTTCCTCCAGGTCTAATTTTTGTTGTGCGTACAATCATAGCTCTATGCCGTATAGATCAAGATATACTTTGCGCGCTCGCCTTTCCTCGTTTCCGGAGTTCGAGGGCGATAACTGTATTTACCATTACCATTGCCATTTACCATTTGCCTATTACTATTTTACTCTCCTATTACTATTTACTATTATGTATTACCTGGCGATACTGATGTACTCCTATGACTATTAAGTATTTACCATTACCATTATCTCATTACTACTTAAATTACCATTTACTATTCGACTCTTATTACTCTCAGTGTAAGTATTATTTATTTAGCTACTTCAATATTGAAGTATTACCATTAATGCAGTTACCATTTTTTGCCTATTACTATTACTTATACCCGCCCGACTCCTTTATTTGCCGACCACTTATACCGCACTTGCCAGCTGTGTATCCTATATAGTCGTGTGCGGCGCAGCATTTTACGCCGCCGATGTCACCTTGATAAGTGTGGTATCTCTCCTGAACTCTTACTTCTAGCACCTCTCGCGCCAGCGTTCTTCCTCATTTCAGTTGCCAGCTCTCCGCTAAGCTCTCTCGCTCGACCCCTGTTTCTTTTGCCACGACCGGGGCTATTTTATTCCAGACGCACTATGTTTGTTCTCCGGCTAACCGTGTGCGCATCAGTCGAATCGCGCACCTCGTCTTCTTCGCGGATATACTCTGGTGTCGGTATTGCACCCATACTAGCGATGAGAAATCGCAACAATCACCATGGCCGGGCGTTACTCTCGCCTGTAGACGTTTACTGCGTCAGGCCTCGTGTAGCTTACTATATAGGCGTTTGTATTACGTATACTTACTAATTACATAATAAAATCAATTACATATTTACATATTACATCCATTATTTCACCCTATTACATATTGTACACTTACATCCATTACATATTTACATCATTTACATTGATTAGCAATTCCATTACATGATTAACATTATTATAATTAACATAATTATTACGATCACTACTATTAGCTCGTAAAACTAGTTATAGCGCTTACGATCGCATACGACATCTTAAATCTAAATTGCCAAGACCGTATTATTACTATAATAGTACATACTCAGTGTACGGAACGCTGGGTTCTTTTTTTCTCTCTCGATTCTAAACTCTGCTTCCCCCCGCGTGGAAGATGAGGCACTGCCGCCTCTTTTGCTCTTTCCTCTCTTATTGAGTGTTGGACAGCAAGATTGTCTTTTTTCGGTGGTGATAATACTCGGATCACTCGATGCTGAATCCATCTTCATAACTTAGGCGATAACTTTCATATAACTGCAACGCTTGCTTCTTTGTTTCACGATGCGATTGTTTGCGCGTTTAATACGTGTACGTCATTGCGCCTGCGTTCCATCCCACTCTCGTTGTCGGTCGCCCGCGCTCTGACTCTCCTCCTATCTCACTTTCCTCGCCCCCCTTTACTCTGCGTTTAATCTTCGCTTCCCCTGTGCTGTTCCTGTTCCGGTTCACTTCCTCTTGTTCCCTTCAGCCTCCTCTGCTGCGATGCGCTTCGGGCCTCTTCGCTGCTTGTGTTCTTGCTTCCGTCCGCACTGCCAGCTCGTCGCCTGCGCTTTCTCGCTGTTTCTTCCCGACCGTGGTTTGTGCGTTTATGCAGCGCCTCGTTTTTTTTCTCTGGTTATCACCGCTCTCTCTCTCTTTTCTCACCTCTCCCCCCTACAAGGTGTTACTTTGACCTTCTGCTCCCGCGTTCTCTCGTGTCCCTGGTTCGGTTGCACTATTTTTGCTTCCGCCTTGCCCGCGCCGTGCTTTCCTCGCTCTTGCTCTGCGCGCTTCTTCCTCCTATCCATGTCCTTTCTCCTCGTGATTTTCTGCTTTTGCCCTTGTGTCCTCTTGGTGGCGGTGTGTGTGCCTTTTCGTCTCCCTCCTCGCGGTGCCTCACTCGTCCCTCTCTTTTCCTGCTTTTTGTCTCTTCCTTTCCGTCCTCCGTTCACTCGCCGTCCCTTTGTCGATTTTCCTCCCTGCTTCACTGCGTACTGCCCGCATCCATCGTTCCTCCGCTTGCTATGTGTTCTCTTACCCCTTGGCTTTTCCCTCCAGTCGGTCTCCCATGCTTTTCTGTGGTGCTATGTCCTCCTCTGTCCGTTGTCCGGCTTACTTTTCTGCGTCCTTCGCCCTCATGCTCTGAGCTCTGCCCTTCGGTTCTCGTACGGCAGTTTCGCCTCTGCTTTGTCTTGCCGCTCCTCGTGTTTTCCTCTTTTCGCTGTCTCGGTCTCTGTCTCCTTGTTTCTTCTCGTGTCCTGACGGCCCTGGTCTCCCGTGTCGCGTTCTACACATCCCCGCATCTCTTTGCTCTGTGTGTACGATTGTCCTGCGTGCTGCGTGCGTCCGCTATGACTAATTCATATATTAACATATCCATCGTGTTATATGGGTATCTACTGCTATGCTTCCTGTTATACATATATTGGCGTCGCTCCTTGCCTCCTGGTGGACCGTGTCGTGTACGTAGGCAGGGCGCCTGTGACGTAGTCATAGGCACTTACTGTCCTCGGTTAATAACAGCCGATCTGCGAAATGGTAACCAGGCGAGAAACATGAGATAACTATCACCTAATATAGATTTTGACTCAAAGTCGTACTCTCTTAATATATATGGATTTGTCTATGTGCGAGATAACGCCTCATCCCTTATTGACGGCTACTGTAAGATATCATTAGCGTCCCTTAGCGTCCTGTGGCACGTTGGAATACGTGTTTTGATAAAATTGATGTGCATGAGCAACGCCCGGGAGACGATACGCTCGGATTTTCATACCCCGTGCGATCTACCTAGCGTCGCCGTGATGGCCAGCACTATGCGTAGACTGTGAACTACATACGTTGCAATGTCATCTTGCATAGTCTCATCTCCTTCTATCAAACAAACACCTGATTATATCGCACACGGGGTCCTGATACGTTGCTAAAGTAGGTAGTCTTCTAGTGTAGGGTATCTTTTCATTTAGTGTTCTACTTGTCATTATTATCTTGATTATTATTAATTATTTTATTATTATTTATTCTTATTTTATTAGATGTTTTTTTTACTTTAAAAAGAGAAACATATGGACTTTACTCTCCAAGAGCAAATAAGCACTGTTGCTTATTGAAAAATGCCAAATTAAGTACTTTAGTTAAGTATAACAGTAGCTGTTATTTTACATCATACTGCACCAGCATATAAATATTTTAATGTCGAAAGTGTACCCAAATATTTACTGAATCAACAGTTTCGAGAAAACCACCCTAAATAAACGTTTCGAGTGACAGTCCTAATTTAGCAAACAACCATTACAAACAGTACTAGTCAAACACAGATCTGCTGTCAAAACCTACGGCTTCAGCAAAATCATTTTTGAATTATCTTCTCAAATATATTTATTAGTAGGTATATTTAGAAAACGAAAGTCCTCGGCGTCATTATTCCATTAACATGCTATGCTGCCACTGCCGTCGGCTTTCTAATATGAAAATAAAGTATGTATCTATGTATAAACTTCAGTTAAGAAACGGCGTCTTTCTGCGCTTAAGGCACTCGATAATAAGTACACGCTGATTCACCTGCGTATTACTCTGCACGCGTCTCTTCACGGTATAGAACAATAGATTGTGTATGATATATTGTTTACCCTGCATATTTTGTTTTTTTAATCTCCACTCGTCATTCGGCGCACTTCAAACTAAACGATTTTATGATATGTCTAATGATTACTTACGAGCGTGTGGATGAGAGAGAGCATGAACCTGGAGAGGTGCTCATGAGAGATGCAGCTCATGAGAGCCAGTGCTATTGCATATTTCCTGTATAACATTTTAAATTGAAAACGTGCCTGCATGTGCGTGGCATATAATCCAACACGTCCATCCGCCTGTGTATGAACATTAACTGAATTAATTTCAGTGTAGGTGTATTCTTGGTTGTTGCTAACGTCATATATATTGTATATAATATATTACTATATGTGTGTGTGTGTGGTTGTGTGTGTTGTGTGTGCTGTGTGTGTGTGTGCTCATCGTGGTGTAATGTGTATGTCGTGTGGTGTTGCTGTGTTGTGTGGGTGTGTCGCGTGACCGCCGTCCATGCTTCGCCGCTTCACCTGGCCTGTAGTGTTCGTCTCACGTTTACCTACGCCGCCTTGTTCTTCTGTCCTACCCTGCTTCGATCGACCCGCTCTTCGTGGTGTCCTTGTGCTCGAGTGTGTGTGTGTGTGTGCTGCGGGGTTGGTGTGGTCCGTGCGTGTGAGGTGGTGCTTGTGTGTCGTTGTGTCAGCGCGAATGGCAGGTGTCTGACGTTGGGGGGGGGGTCGTGCGGCTATCTTCGCTGATTTTTTGTACTGGATCTGCGAGCTAATCCATGGTGAAGTCAATTCGGCACTCTATAACGCCTATATACGCTATTACAGCTCTATACGCCTACTACAGCCTCTATACCTATATTACCGCTATACCAGCTCTATTACGCCTTCCCATCATCGCGACATTCGAGACCGCAATCACGTCGCTGAAAAGCTGTTATTCAGGTTTTTCATTAAGCCGCTATTCAAACCGCAGAGAGAGAGACTGGTAAGCAGAGCGAGCAGAGAGAGCGCTGCGCGCGAGAGAGAGAGATGGGAGAGAGAGGCGCGCCGAGCTGGCCGACGAGCAGAGAGCGAGAGGCCGAGAGGTGAGAGCGAAGCGAAGAGCAGAGAACGAGAGAGCGAGAGAGATGAGAGAGGATGAGAGGAGAGCAGAGGGAGAGAGCGCGCCGATGAGATGAGAGAGCGATGCAGAGGGACGAGAAGCGCCTGCGAACTGAGAGAGAGAGCCTACGTAATGGTTCACTCCGACGGGCTTCGCTTCGCGCGGGGACGCTGGTTGTGAACAATGGGAACGAATGCGGGGATCAAATCGCGAGGAAAAAACGGTGATGTGAGGCGCATGAGTAGCTGGTTAGCGTGAAAACGTAACACCATTAAGGGTCAGAGGTATGGTGAGAGAGAGTCGCGGGCGATCGCAGATGGACTTAGACGAGAATCTGTGCAGCAGCAGCAACAGCAGCCCAGCAGCAGCGAGCGAGCTCAAGTGCTGCGATACAACCGACTGCACGCATCTCGCGCGTACCCAGAGCCTGATCACCGAACGAGCGCCCTATTCTGCTACCACCACAACAAGCCAAGATCCTAAGCGTCGATTATTGCTGAAACACGTATAGCCGCACTACGATTGGCGCATGTCCGCTAAAATATCGGGCCTGGGTGTATTAGCGGATGGTATGATGGAGCGGATGGGCCCGAATGATTAGGAAACATGAATGGGCATGCGCATAAGTTATCGTTTTAGTTCGTCGTCGCGACGTGTGTCGGTGTGTCGCGCTGTGCGTGTGTGTGTGTGTGTGTGTGTGTGTGTGTGTGTGTGTGCGTGTGTGTGTGCGCGCGCGCGCGTGTGTGTGTGTGTATAGAAGAGCGTTTGTTAGAAGCGCACCACCACACCAGCGCGCCATGCATCCGCACCTATCATGGAGTCATAGCACGTATAGTTTCTATTACACTAATGTCTACATGCACGCAATAATGTACACTCACAACTACTGGATTACCCCACGATCCTCATCCTCTATTCAATCCACGCTCCTTTGTGGTTCATTTAGATTGAAGCTCGACGGGGAGCACGTTAATTAATATGTTAACATTATTATATAATGTTAATAATATAATATAATATGTTAATATAATATAATGATATATATCATTATAATAATATAATGTTACTAACAAATAAATAAAACGTAAAAAAAACGTAGTAACATAGTTAACATATTAATAATTTACAGTAATTAATTTGCCTACCCAGGCCTCCGACACGCAGATACAGGCTTCCGGCATGCCTTGCCTCCGTCGTTCGTCTTCTACTGACCCCCCCATCGCTTGCCTGCTGCGTCTCTCCGTTCTCTGAGCTCCCGTTCTCGGACACGCCATTTCTAGCGCCGAGTACGCTTAGCTGGGTCGCCTCGGCGCTGCGGACGTCTCCGTCGTCGGGGGAAATAGAGGGCGCTGCATCCGGGCTCTTGTCTCGCAGTAGGAACGTGTAGATGTAGATAAGGAAGGTGATCGTTCCGAGGTACAGGTACAGATGGAAGGCCTGCAACAGTACACGCCACGCATATGTTACAGTGTAGATCGATCGAGAGCCTGATGCAGTCAATCTACAGGAGCCAGTGGTAACGTCTACACCGTGGCTCCTCGGTAGTGTTTACAAGGGATAACGCACAATTAACCAAGCGTGCTATCAATGCCAGTAGGAGCATAAACAACACTAGCAGCAGCAGCAGCAGCAACAATAACAACAATAATAACAACAACAGAAACAATGACAACAACAGCAGCAAAACCAACAACAATAACAACAACAATAACAACAACAACAACAACAACAACAACAGCAACTACAGCAGCAGCAGCAACAACAACAGCAGCAGCAACAACAACAGCAGCAGCAACAACAGCAGCAGCAACAACAACAGCAGCAGCAACAACAATAACAGTAACATCAACAGCAGCCGCGCTAGCAGCAGCAACAACATTAGTAGCAGCAACAACAGCGGCGTTTTTAAGTGATAACGTGACCGCCCATACGTGCGATAACAGTGTGGGTGTAGTGTGCGTGCCCGGGGCATTTGCACACTTGCGTACACATGGCTGTGAAACCTGAGGAGCGGGCAAGGAGAGCAGCTGTCTCCCAGATTGTGGAGAAAAATCAAACTAAGCGTAAAAAAAATAAACAATCGTTAATGAGAATAAACAAATCGTCATGTAGTCCGCCATCGTACGCGGTCCATGTACTCCCGCGTCCCGTGACACCACGCACGTAGACTGGGACCCGCGTCCCATCCCCGTCAATCTTCGACTGAATCACGAAATGTTGCCTGTCTGTAGCCTATAGCGCTGACTTGCGACTTTTTAATGCAACTCGGCTGCGATTCTAGAATCGCAGTCGAAATTGCTGTGAAATCGCTAGGTCAGCGGGAACGTGCAACTGCAACTTGTAGCGATTCTCGTCGCTTGCAACGTGTTGCAAGAAATCAAACTGATTTGATTTTCAGCAACTCGTTGCTCCCAATCGCTCCGAAATCGCTTCGAAATCGCTTAATTGCATGCGCACACACGGTGAAGCGTGCGACCGATCGCATGCGGTTGCAGGTTGCAGCGACGAGCAACCGAAAGTCGCAAGTCTGCGCTAATGTGAATATAAGCTCAGGTTACTGAGCTGTCGTTCGTCGTTACGTACCTCCAGCACGTACGAGTTCACGTTGCCCGTGATGCCTGATGACAACGATAGAGCGAAGCCGACGACGATGACGAGTGCTGCATAGATGGCGCTGATGGTCTTGTAGTTGGCATGCCTGAAGCAGAGTTTGGTAAGCGTCACGCGTTTCTGCGAACAGGAAAAATCTGTACGTGCAGCATTGGCATCGCAAAAATCACAGTCATGGACGCCTCTATATTATAACAGATATATACCTGGCTATATGGGAAACTTTCAGTCGGTTCCTTTGTTTAGCCTTGTATATCGGGGTTGGCTATATAGCAATATATTGTGAACAATCTTACGCGGTGTTATGATATTATAGTATTAGTATAATAGTAGTATTGTATAATAAAAGGTAACACGGGTTCATACAAACTTTTTGTCTAGAGAGTCAATATTTTTGTTTCTTTAAAGTATTAGGGATGAAATTACAATGCTGGGCGTGACCGTGACGTCATGATCCTGTAATCGCCTTGCAGCTGCATGATGCGTCCACAGAATATTTCGTGCGCTATGATTGTATAGTGCGATCAGAAGTGTCACAATAAAGTCCTCTATTTTATGTCACTCCTTGTATGATTGTATTATAATGTGATGCTAGTGTGTTATGATAGTAGTATAGTATAAATGTATTGTTATAATATTAGTCTATAGTGGTTAAAGTATAATAATCGTAACAGGAGTTAATAAAAGCTTTTGTCTAGAGAGACAATATTTTTGTTTCTTTAACGTATTAGTGGAGCATATCCGCTACTGGGAGTGTCCGTGACAGCATGGTCCTGCATGTAATCTTCCTGCATGCTGCGTCATGCTGCGTCCACACAATATTGCTATGATTCTATGCTATGATGAGGAGTGTCACAATAATGTCCTTTGTATTATGACACTCCTTGTAAAGTAACTTTTAACTATGGTAATGTATTGTGGGCGAGTGTCCGTAACCGCGTGGTGTTACAATGACGAGTCATAATGAGTTCACAGATTCTTTGAGAAGAATATTTTCGTTTCATTAACAGGTTTTTTTTTCAATTGAATATTGCGTGTGTTTCTGTCAACGCTCCTCTCGTACATTAACATTAGTCGTAAGTGTTATCTTAGCATTAACATTAGCATTAACTTTACGATGTTTCTGACAACGGCGCCCAGGTTCTTTTTCCAATCGAATATTACGTGTGGTTCTGTGAACGTGCTGGCTATATGCAGCCACGCAAATGGCTTCATTCCCATGCTGGTCGAAACACGCGCGGGCATCGGCTTCTGCATAAAACGGTCATAATCATTATCACCATTATATGACGCTGAGTGCGACCAGGTGTTATAGGTAAACCTTAATGTAGGCCAGTGATATTGATGTGTGCGTCTATAGAGGTTTGTTTAATCTATAATTGCTGTCACATATGGAACTATACCCGTGCATCACCCCCAAACATATCTTCACGTTTAATGTGACATTATATACATTCACATAGCGTTGGATAGTATATAGCAGTGTGATGAGTGTCAGGAGAGTCATAATATGGTCATGTCTATATAATTATTATGACAGTCCGGTGTATATACTATGTACACTAGAACTGTCGTCTACAAACGCCCCTGCAATCTAAACGAACGCCAACCTTGTCCGTAAAGGTCACTCGATCATAGCTCAGTTAAAAATTGTTAGCCGCATCATATCACGGCAAGTTGCAGAGACACCAAAATCAATTAAATCGTTCCTTTAACGTTTTTCTGCATAAAATGGTCTTAATCAAGGTCGTTCACACGAGACCTCGTATTTATGAAATACGGTATTTGCGAAATACCGAATCTGAGACAAATACGCGGCCGAGCGTTCAAACGCTGATTTGTGGCTCCAGAAATACGGTATTTGCGAAATACCGAATCTGAGACAAATACGCGGCCGAGCGTTCACACGCTGATTCGCGGCTCCAGAAATACGGTATTTGCGAGCTGCGAGCTGCTTTAAACAATCAAGCAAACAATGCGAAATAAACAATGCAATGTGCACCAACTGCCGATAAAATACGTAGACTGGTCTGCGCTCAACAGTTCTACTCGCGTTACACTGGAACTGTCGAGCGTGGACCAGTCTATAAAATCAGCGGCTTCAGAAATCCAGTATTTAGCGTTCACACGAGGAAATGCGCGGTCCAAGAGATCCGGTATTTCTCAAGCACGGCAAATTATTCGGGGTCTGGGAAGCCGCGTATTTACATCAAATACCGTATCTGTTTATGCTAGGGGCACACGAGCGTATTTTATCGCCGATCGCGGCGATTAAAATCGCCAGCGAATTTAATCGCCCGATCACGAAGGGGCACACGTAGCGATTTTGAGAGCGTACGCGTACGCCACTCGACGGAATCACATGATCACATGATGCATCACATGATATCAACAACACGTCCGATTGGTTTAGAAAAATCGATCGGGCGACAAAATACGCCGGACACGGGCACACGAGCGAATTTGCCAGTAAATAATCGCCCGAAAATATCTAACATTTTGGATACGGGCGATTCGTACGGGCGATTAAAATCGGCGTCGACGTGCACGGGCACACGGGCAAATTTTTCGAGCGATTTTAAAATTCGCGGCGATCGGGCGGTAAAAATCGCTCGTGTGCCCCTACCTTTAGATACCGTATTTTTTGGACCGCGCATTTTGCCTCGTGTGAACGCTAAATACCGGATTTCTTGCTACGTGTGAACGCGGCTACTATCACCATTATGACGCTGAGTGTGACCAGGTGTTATAGGTAATAAACAAAAAATCAATTAAATCGTTCCTTTCACCTTACTTTCTATGAACCCTTTTTACGTAATACGGGATTGAATTACGTATTGAACGTACGTATTGAACGTACGTAACGTTACGTACGTGAACACTGAATTTATAAGCGATAAACGCAAGCATTCCAGGTAGGGTATAGCCACAGCAATTTACAGTCGCGGATATCAGCCTGATATTCGAGGCAAAGTAGGTGAATGCAGTTAGTATGGTGGATGCGCATGGCATGTGTCATCGGTGGTGTTATCATGGTCGAATTAAAGTTATATAGGGGGGGGGGGACGGTGTCGCCAGACGCACTTATACCTGCCTGCGGCGGAAACATATGCTGAGTCATTGGGTCGTGTACATAGTTGAGCGCTGCTTTTATTAATTCGCCTATCCCAATATTGTTTAATTTATTAAATTTTAATGTGTTTTTTTTATTGTTTAATGTCATCGCAGCGGTGGTATTGCGTAAGTGCTCTCATTTGCCCTCCATAGACGTGGATGCGTCAGCAGATATAGCTGTTAGTATGTAAGTTAAAACTGTTCGCATCGACTCTGGTGACCTATAAAACCTAACTGTTATTGAGGTTGAATAGCGACACGGAAGATTTGCAGAGATACAGCGCGCACAAATGCACGCACACGCTACACGAGCGAATTTGCCAGTAAATAATCGCCCGAAAATATCTAACATTTTGGATACGGGCGATTCGTACGGGCGATTAAAATCGGCGTCGACGTGCACGGGCACACGGGCAAATTTTTCGAGCGATTTTAAAATTCGCGGCGATCGGGCGGTAAAAATCGCTCGTGTGCCCCTACCTTTAGATACCGTATTTCTTGGACCGCGCATTTTGCCTCGTGTGAACGCTAAATACCGGATTTCTTGCTACGTGTGAACGCGGCTACTATCACCATTATGACGCTGAGTGTGACCAGGTGTTATAGGTAATAAACAAAAAATCAATTAAATCGTTCCTTTCACCTTACTTTCTATGAACCCTTTTTACGTAATACGGGATTGAATTACGTATTGAACGTACGTATTGAACGTACGTAACGTTACGTACGTGAACACTGAATTTATAAGCGATAAACGCAAGCATTCCAGGTAGGGTATAGCCACAGCAATTTACAGTCGCGGATATCAGCCTGATATTCGAGGCAAAGTAGGTGAATGCAGTTAGTATGGTGGATGCGCATGGCATGTGTCATCGGTGGTGTTATCATGGTCGAATTAAAGTTATATAGGGGGGGGGGGACGGTGTCGCCAGACGCACTTATACCTGCCTGCGGCGGAAACATATGCTGAGTCATTGGGTCGTGTACATAGTTGAGCGCTGCTTTTATTAATTCGCCTATCCCAATATTGTTTAATTTATTAAATTTTAATGTGTTTTTTTTATTGTTTAATGTCATCGCAGCGGTGGTATTGCGTAAGTGCTCTCATTTGCCCTCCATAGACGTGGATGCGTCAGCAGATATAGCTGTTAGTATGTAAGTTAAAACTGTTCGCATCGACTCTGGTGACCTATAAAATCTAACTGTTATTGAGGTTGAATAGCGACACGGAAGAGTTGCAGAGATACAGCGCGCACAAATGCACGCACACGCACAAATGCACGCACACGCGCGTGCACGCGTGCACACACACACACACACACACACACACACACACGCGCGCGCGCGCGCACACACACACACACACGCACGCACGCACGCACGCGCGTGCACACACATAATGTTAATAAGATCTGAATCGCTGAAAAAACGTCTTAGAAACAGATTTAACGTTGATTTATTAAACCTACAAAATGCACATTACTTTACATTAATTCCTAGTTTAAATCCTCTCCGTCAGCCCCACATATACATAAACGACACATTGTTTTTGTTTGGTTCCCCGTACCCTAGCGGAAACAGCGGGAATTAACGATTCCTCACGTGCAAGGAGCTACATAACCATATATAGGTATATGTAGCTCCTTGCTCACGTGATGCCCGCTTACCATCTAGAAATGTACAAGCAATGTTTTCCGTCTTCATGATCTCGCCTCCATATTGAATTCAGCTGCGAAATTTTGTGTTCAAATGTAATTTCAACGCGTCCGCACTGGTGGATACTGCCAGACACGCATTCGCAAAGGTAGGAAACCGCTATAACATTTTCTTATGATTACGAAGAAGTGATACGACCACCGTAGAACGTTGAAATACTGCCAAAGTAACAAATTTTGTTTCAGCGAGTTCAATCACAATCCCCCCCCCCATTGCACTCAGCTATTAAGTATTGTCGGCCGCTGTTCATTTCAAATCGTTATATGCAAACTATTCTTGCTTCTTTCGATTGGAATTGACATCACGTTGAGGTTCGATGTACAGGCTTCACGACGTAGTCTCTATTTTTATGAAATTAAAAAGATAAATGCGTGCGGTAACGCGACGAAGATCGGAGCCGCATTGCTAACTTAAAATGCCTCTGACTATACAACAATGTCAACACACGTACACGGTATACTATCCCGTAGATTTACATACGCAGTTAAAATGACAATCACTATAGTTCTATCGGAAGGCAATTGGACTAGGAGAAATTTTTGACGTTAACCAGCGATGAACGGTGTTAGATGTAGCCTTAGAACTATAGCCTTTCGCTCTGTCAAGGCTACTGTGGCAGAGCGAAGTGCTATATATAGTTTTATAACTAGATAGGGTTAGGTAGCTTAGATGGTGCTAATTGACTAGATAGCGGGAAGAAGAACTCCATGACAATTTACTATTGAACTGCATACCATTTTACCCTATTTGTTATCTCAGTCTTCGCAGAGTTTCTCCATATATGTGTGGCACTTTGACCCATGGCTTAACTATAGGTTGGCATTAATCACATTTAGTTTGTAATTTGCGTGTGTGAAGTGTGTGATATAATCAGGAGTAAGATAATATAGGAATATCCTAGGAAAATCCTATATTATCTTACTTTTGATATAATATATACACACACATACACACACACACACACACACACACACACACACACACACACACACACACACACACACACACACACACACACACACACACACACACACACTACACACACACACAC